TCTGAGAGAAATAATAGTGAACCTAAAGAGAGGTTCTAGAAAATAGTTTTAACTAGAAAAAGTCGATAAATATTGCTGCAATCGATCTGAAATTTTAAAGACAACTTTTTTGAAAAATTCTACATCTTTTCTACTAAGCTTATCTTAGTAAGAAAATGCTACACTGATTCGTAAATCAAGTGACGGTCTTTTTTGCTCCTATAAAAGAGACTTTAAAGAAGGATTGAAGAAAGAAAAAAAACATTTTGTATTTATTAAAATCAACATAGAAAATTATCTACTGGACCAATTTTAACGGTTTAACCACCGTTAAAATCGTTGAACTCTGCTCTACAACTTTACTTGAGAGCCCAAGACATAATTACTTAGTATCAAACCAGTATTTAATAAGTGATTATGATCCTAATAAAGAAATAGATATATTTAGCAGTATAGAATTTGATAACTCTAATGATCCTAATGCGGAACTAATATTAACTATCCAACCTTGGTGGACATCCCCTTTGGAAACCCCTTCTCCAGAATATTTGTTAGAATTTGACAATTATTCTGAATATTATCTTTGTAATGTAGTTTGGTAGAGAGTAGTCAATACTACTTATTATTATTACTAATTATTTTGATATATATATAATTATATTTTATTACAAAAATGACAAAAAAAAAGAAGAGATTATATACATTACAAATTTAAAAACCAAAACCTGATATTCTATTCCTATTATTATTATTTCCTTCCCTTCTTCTTTCCTCCACTCTTAACCTTCTTAATTCCTCCTCATCATTTGCTAACCTTGCCCTCAACCTATTTCTTTCTTTCAATAACCAAGTATACCGTTGCTCCAACATCCACCTATCTTGCACCCTTGTGACTGCATTTGCCCTCAACTCTTCTAACTCTGTCTCCAAACTTTGAATTCTTCTTCTTTGAGAGGCTACCAACCACATTAAGCTATAAGAAATTTTATTAGCTTTATACAAAAAAAAATAAAGAAGAAAAAAAAAAGAAATTTTGCATTAAATATTTACCGTCTATTTTCATTTTGGACCACCTCTAAGGCCTTATATAGGGCATTGTTGCCATTACGGCAAGCATGATGAACATTTCCGAGAAGACTGTAACAAGGCATTTTATTATGATTGTTATTGTTGGAGTTGTTGTTGTTGATGTTGAGAAGTTGAATTTTTTTTTACAAAAAAAAAAAAAAAAGAAGAGAAGCGACAAAAGAACTATAATCTTTAATGAACAATGACGAAACAAAATTAGAAAGTAATCAGAAACTGATTT